GTGGTGAAATCTATCCATGTTGTATCTCTACAACAAACCAAGTTGCTGACATTTTCACCAAAGCACTTGGCACAGATCGTTTCCAACTTCTAAGGAGCAAGTTGGGTATTCGTGACCTTCACACTCCACCTTGAGGGGGAGTATTGAGAATATTGGGACCCATATTATTTCTATTATTAAAATATGTAATGTTACCCAGTACGTAGCATGTGTGTGTGGGTTGCATGATGTGTGTATGGGTTGCATGATGTGCATGGCCCTCTATTATTTCCTCTCTATTATTCACATCCACCATATGTAGTATATATGTGAGATGCATGTAACGTAAGACAGAGTTCGAGTGAGAAGTATTATTTACTTTGTATGAAATCTAGCACATTTAATATTAGTTCTTATTTTTATCATTAATCCTTGATTTTATCAATATACTTCTACGTTTAACCTTTCACGAATCTCCTCTCTCTATATATACATACAATTGAGTGGAAATGATCCTCCAATTATATGCTTTTTTACTTTGTCAATATGTCAAAAGTCACTTTTTGAAAGAGATGTAGAATTTAAATTTCGGAAATAATTAATAAACCAAAAATGTATCCGGATTTTTTGTTTTCAAAAGAAATGCTACGTATGGTCTTAAGTCATTATTTTGTAGTCCCAACTTAAATCATTATATTCACCATAACCCAAATGCTGAATGAAGGTCGAATATATATAAACACAATTTTTTCTGTAAATTTAATTTGCACCGGTGCAGCGGTGCCTTGAACTTCGAGGGCGACCATATATGTTGACAAACGCGCTAAGGAAGTAAATTAGCTAAGCGGCTCTCACGAAGAATTGAATTGAATTGAATTGTAACACCATTTTCATTTGCATTGGGGGAACTAGAACTAATTTTGAGGGGTAGTGCTGAGAATAATCGAGAATTATGTAACAAATATATCCACTCTTTAAGTATAAAGTCCGTTTGCTGTCAAATAAAAAAGTTTAAAGTCCGTTTAATAACAATAAATCAGCTTAATTGGATATAATTACTGAAATTATTACTCAAGTGGTTGAATTAATTGATTCTACTGAGTTATGGAAAAGTTATATTAAAAACATATTTAACTAATAAAACTATGAAAGAGATTTTAAAAAAATAAAGCATTTCATCTTTTCAGCAAGCAAAAAAGTTATAATGCATGATTTTAAACTTATGGCATTATTCCATGTTTGCAATCACATACAAAATTAAGTTCTAAATTGACGCCAATTGCATATCTCCCTAGCTAGGGGTTAATAGGATATAACTATCTGATTCTAAATCCTAATTTCTACATTTATGAGAACTTTGAATTATTGTAGGTAGAGCCTGTTTGGTAACACCGAAATCGGCTGAATCAGTTTTTTTTAAAGAGCTGAATCAGTTGTTTCTACTGAAATTTATGAAGTTCTGGCTTTAAGTGGTTGTATTGGCTGATTTATGAAAATATTAAATTTAAAATATATTTTATTAAAAAAATAAAGAAGAAATTATATGTAAAAATAGCTAAAAAGGTCCCCTATAGTAACTTCAGCCGAAATAGCCAGAAAAGTAACTACAACTTACTTTTTCTTATTATTACACATTTCAGCGCGCGAAATCAAAAGTTGCGTGTTTGGTGAAAAAGTTGGTTGAAAAGCGTGATAAGTCGAATAACAGTGTTACCAAACGGGCTCGTATACTCCAAAGAAATATTGTATAACTGATTAATAATACCTAATACCACAAACAAATTCTAGTTCCTAATATTTTTAAAACGTTTGTTTATTAAGTTATTTAAATTAACTCATAAAAATATTAATACTTACATCACAATTTAATACGGACTACACTTCCTTAAAAAAACGGACTACACTTTACACACCAGTTGAGTCTTTTAATTCCTTATCTAGCTAGTAGTGTGTCCAATTGTCCATCATCTGCATTTTGGGCCGCTCAGATAAATTTATTAAAAGATGGCAGTTTTTCTTTTTATTTGGAGCGTCCTTTTTATGTTGCTACCGTCTCTATTAATTGTGAAAAATATAAAGAAGTAGAATAGAAAATAAAGGAAGGAAAGAGAACATAAAGAATGAGATAATAATGCAATCTCTCATCCTTTCATACGTGAGCCATGCATGGGTTTTATAGTACCATGCAACGGTCATAAAAATAAGATGAGCAAATAAATAATTCCTATACAATGAATCTAGTTTATGTAAAGGACATAATGACAAATACAATAAATGAATAACGTATACTTCAATTTTGAATTCTTCACTCCCCCTCAAGCTTATGGTTGGTACATGAGCTTGGATGTAAGCGTAGTGAATGATTGAGGAGAAAGAACTTTGGTGAAAATATCCGCAAGTTGCTGGTGGGACGGAACGAATGTTGTGCGTATTTTTCCTTCTTGAATTTTATCACGAATAAAGTGGCAATCGATTTCGACATGTTTTGTGCGTTCATGAAAAACCGGATTATTTGCAATGTGTAGGGCAGCTTGGTTGTCACAATGAAGGTGAGCTGGGTGACACGGTATACCTAGTTCAGAGAGAAGTAGCTGGATCCAGGTGATTTCACTCACTGCGGCTGCCATAGATCGGTATTCAGCTTCAGCAGAGGAACGAGAGACAGTTGTTTGTTTCTTAGTCCGCCATGATATTGGACTAGTCCCCAGGAATGTGCAATAGCCGGAGGTAGAGCGTCGAGTAGTGGGGCAAGACGCCCAATCAGCATCACAATAAACATTGAGGTGTAAGGAGGTGTCCTTAGCCAGTAGGATACCACGATCAGGGGCTGTTTTAAGGTAGTGAACAACACGTAAGGCAGCATCCCAATGAGTTTGACGAGGGCATGACATAAACTGGGAGAGCTGGTTAACTGAGTAAGTAATATCCGGTCTTGTAACGGTGAGGTAGAGTAGTCGACCAACCAAACGCCGATAGCGAGATGGGTCATCAAGCAATGGGCCCGTGTCGATCTGTAGGCGAGTACTAGCATCCATAGGTGTGATGGTCGGCTTGCAAGCAAGAAGCCCAACATCATTGAGGATCTCCAAAGCGTATTTCCGTTGGTTGAGAAATATGCCCAATGATGAGCGTGCAACTTCAATTCCTAAAAAATATTTTAATGGGCCGAGGTCTTTAAGGTGGAAATGGTGTGCTAAATACCACTTTATTATAGGGATGAGGAGCACGTCGTCACCTGTGATAACTATATCATCTACATAAACAAGCAAAATTGTTAAATGTAACTTGCGTTTGTAAATAAACATAGAATAATCCGCTTTAGATTGAATAAACCCGGCTTGTAATAGTGCGTTGGAGAAAGTGGCAAACCAAGTCCGGGAAGCTTGTTTAAGCCCATATATGGACTTATGGAGACGACAAACACGGTGCTCCCCCTTTCGGTGAAAACCGGGTGGGAGTTGCATGTACACTTCCTCATGTAAATGACCATGTAGGAATGCATTAGAGACATCAAGTTGATGGGTAGACCATCCTTTTGCCGCCGCAATGCTAAGTACAGTGCGAACGGTAGTGAGTTTAGTTACCGGAGCAAAGACATCGGTATAATCGAAACCTTCTAACTGAGAATATCCTTTGGCAACAAGGCGTGCCTTATAGCGTTCAATAGTGCCATCAGGTTTATATTTTATTCGATATACCCATTTGCAGCCAATAGCATGCTTTCCTGGCGGTAATGGTTGGAGGGACCAAGTATGATTCTCTTCTAAAGCTGAAATTTCATTTTTCATTGCCTCAACCCAAAGAGGGTTCTTGCATGCCACTGTGTAGGAGGTGGGTTCCGTATGTTTAGTAATATTATTAATGTAGCAAACATGACCTGCAGAATAAGAGCTAGAAGAGATAAAATTAATTAAAGGGTATAGAGGAGATTGGGCGGGCACTGCATGGCACTGATAATCTGAGAGATAGTGGGGTAATTTGGTTTGGCGGCTACTGCGTCTAGGGAGGGGTTGTATAGCTGGAGTATTGGCAGAATTATTTGAGGTTGAGGGAATAGGAGGTGTGCATGTATCGAACTGGATGGTAGGTGGTGAGGTATTTGGCTCCATTTGGTGAGTGGGGTGAAGACTATGTTGATTTATTGTCTTGGTGGGTGAAGGGGGGGCAATTGTCAGTGGGGTGGGCAAGGGAATTGTATTATTTAAATGTGATGGAGTAGAGGAAATCACGTAAGTTGGGTTTGAATTTAAATGGGTAGGTGTAGAAAATTGGTTTTGGGAGTTTGTGGAATTATTTGGTGTGGCGACACAAGATGGAGCGTGAGATGTGTCTGGAAAGAGTTGTTCAGTGTCCGGAATGGGTAACGGTAAAATACTAGGTGGACCGGGGTTATCCGGAGAGGCGGGTAAATTTTTAAAAGGAAATATATCTTCATAAAATATAACGTCACGACTAATAAAATACGTTTTATCTGTAAGATCATACAGACGATATGCTTTTTGTCCTTGTGGGTATCCAATAAATATACATTTTCTTGCACGAGGTGCAAATTTATGGGGGTGTTGGGAATTGGTGGACGCAAAACATAAACAACCAAAAGTGCGTAAAATTTTAAAATTAGGAGATTGGCGGTGTAATATTTCGAAAGGTGTTTTATTGTGTAAAATAGGAGACGGGGTTCTATTTATTAGATAAGTGGCGGTAAGAATACAATCACCCCAAAAAGAAAGCGGAAGGCCAGCTTGGAAGCGTAAGGCTCGTGCCATATTGAGAAGATGGCGATGCTTACGCTCCACTACACCATTTTGTTGTGGAGTGCTAGGACAACTTGTTTGGTGAAGTATACCATTTTCATTAAGAACTTTTTGAAAAATATGATTGGTAAATTCTGTACCATTATCAGATCGTATGATTTTGACGCATGTTTTAAAGTGATTTTTAATATAAGCCAAGAAATGAACAATTAAGGAAAAAACATCAGTTTTAAATTTCATTAAATAAGTCCACGTAGTGCGAGAAAAATCATCAACAATGGTTAAAAAATAATAGTGACCATTATTTGTGGGATTTTTGTATTTTCCCCAAACATCAATATGAATTAGATCAAAACAATTTTTAGTAAAAGAGCTACGAATGGGAAAAGGCAATCTAGTCTGTTTAGACAAGTGGCATATATCACACAAATGTAATTTATTTGAACAGCCAAGAATTGGAGATAATAATTTAAAGACATTAGAGGACGGATGGCCAAGGCGGGAGTGCCAAGTGGTGGGGGATGCGGCAAAAAGCGTGCTCGGTGTGGGTGGAAGCGTTAGAAAATATAGTCCATGTTTCCTATGGCCCCGACCAATCTCCTCCTTCGTCAAAAGGTCCTGAAAAATACAGTAGTTAGGATAAAAAATAACGCTACAATTTAAATCATGGGACAGTTTTGTAACGGAAAGTAAATTATAGTGAAATGAAGGAACATATAATACATTAGACAATGTAATTTTAGGAGTTAAAAAAATATTGCCAATTCCATGAATGGGGGCAACAGAGCCATCAGGGATGGATATACTACGTTTATCCATAAGTGCAACTGGGAAAGTGGAAAAAATGTTAGGATCAAAAGAGACGTGATCCGTTGCACCTGTGTCAATGATCCACTCTTGGGATAGTTTTAAAAAGGAAGCAAGAGTAAGAGACGTACCGACAAGATTGGCCTTTGGTTCATTTACCTCCCGAAGAAGACGGAGAAGTTGTTGAATGGAATCGGAGGAGGTCGAAGGGGCGGGATTGGTGGTGGTGACGGTTGGAGCACCATGAGTATTTCCTTTCTTGTAATATTTGTGGCCGGGTGGATATCCATGCAACCGGTAGCACACTAGTTGTGTGTGTCCAGGGATGCCACAGTGAGTACAACGAGACCGGTTGGAGTTAGGACGTGAGTAGTTGCGTGAGATGGAATTTGCATGAGCTATATGGGTTTTGCCGGTTTGGGTGGCCGGTGTAGCTAGGAGAGCGGAGGTGGTGTCAGTGTGGTAGGACTGACTCTGGAGACGTTGAGCCTCATCTTGCAGAAGTAAATTATAAGCTTGATGGACTGGAGGGAGGATAGTGGTGAGTAAAAGTTGGCTACGCGATGCCGCGAATGTATCACGGAGACCCATAAGAAATTGCATGAGACGGCGGCGGTCAAGTTGAGCGGCATATTGAGTGCGTGCGGCACAAGTGCACTTGGGCGGTGGATCAGCAAGAGTTAGTTCACTCCAAAGGCGTTGGAGTTTATTGTGATAAACGGCAATAGTGTCGTCATGTTGGTTGAGGGTAGATATTTGGCGTTCAAGGTCATAAATCCGAGGTCCACTAGAGGTTGAGAAACGAGCTTTGAGGTCCGACCACACTGTGGCGGCATCGGGAGCATAAAGGACGGTGTGAGCAAGGTTGACATGAATAGAATGGAGGATCCATGACATGACCAAATTGTTAACCCGGTGCCATCGGTCGTGGTTGGGGTCGTCACGAGAAGGCATGGGAAGAGAGCCATCAACAAAAGAAAATTTATTTCGGCCACGTAAAGCCATTATCATGGCAAGAGACCAAGCATTGTAATCATCTAGGCCGGTGAGCAGGTGACCAACCAAGGCGGCACCGGTGCTGTCGGAAGGGTGGATGAAATACGGGCTATCTGTGTCATGAGTGGAGGGATGATGTAATGGGATGTGGGTGGCTGCAGAGGTAACGGCAGTAGTTGTGTGGAGGGGTGGGGGTGTGGGTGATTCATCATCTGATACCATATTAATTGTGAAAAATATAAAGAAGTAGAATAGAAAATAAAGGAAGGAAAGAGAACATAAAGAATGAGATAATAATGCAATCTCTCATCCTTTCATACGTGAGCCATGCATGGGTTTTATAGTACCATGCAACGGTCATAAAAATAAGATGAGCAAATAAATAATTCCTATACAATGAATCTAGTTTATGTAAAGGACATAATGACAAATACAATAAATGAATAACGTATACTTCAATTTTGAATTCTTCAGTCTCAATTATACAAGGGTTTGCTACTAAATGAAACGGTGACGTTTAGATAAGTAAAAAGGAAATAGGAAAACCACAATCAAAGAAAGCGTGTTTCAAGTCTTCATCGTCACGAATGGAGGAACAGACGGCAAACAGAACCGAATCTCCCGGGGCGCTGCAAGAATACCATATGTACCTACCTTGACAAGAGGAAATGATGAAACCACGAGAGTTTCCAACAAGCCATACCAAAACACGGGAGTTCCCATTAGGGTATGAAAACTCGGGATTCCGAAGGTGGCTTTCCGAATGAAGTGAGGCTGTATGAAAACTGGGATTCGGAATTGCATCTTCCGAATGGAGGAACTGATAATTTTTTTAAAGCAATAACTTTAATGGTTGGAAGTTGATATCGAAATATAATGGCTAAAAAGCAACCAAAAAAAACAAAACAAAACATGCACCCACTAATTCAGACGCACATTTCCAAATGCCATTTTTTTAATTAGTTGGAATTATAAGAATCCACTAGCCATTTTTTTAAATTTTTATTTTAGTCTGACGGATTTTATTAATTTTTTATTTTTTTTAAATATTATATTAATTTTTTATTATTTTGTTTCGAAATTTATTACTTTGTTACCATTTTATTATAAATTAATACCCGCATGGGTAATAAAGGTAGAAAAATTGAGCCCGTTTGGTAACATCGAAATCGGCACAATCGGCTGATTCTATTGAAATTTCTGAAATTCTGATTAAAGTGGTTGTATTGGTTTATTCTGCTGATTTATGAATAAATTATATTTTAAAAATATTTTATTAATAAAATATAGATAAATTATATGAAAAAATAGTCAAAATTGTCATCTACACTAACTTCAGCCAATACCGCCAGAAAAATAACTCTTACCTTACTTTTTCTTATTATTATACAATTCAGCGTGTGGAATCAAAAGTTACGTGTTTGGTTAAAAAGTTGGCTGATAAGCAGAAAAACAGAGTCACCAAACGAGCTCTTAATGTTTAGTCCTATTTGTGAATAATTTGGTTTTTAGTCATATTTGTGCAATTAAGTTTCCATTTAGTCCATTTATGATTTATGGTATTATATTCATTGTTGGGAAATATTTTATTGATAGATGAAGTACAAATTAATTTCTTTTAAAATTTTCAACTAATTTCATATAATTTACTTTCATTAATTATTTTGAAAAAAATACATATCAATTCATTTCACATAGTTAAAACTTAAAATAAAAAATGAATTAACATGCATTTGGATCGGAATTGCCGAATGGGGTGAGATTAAAAAGTAAAAAACAAACATTTGGAAACCCATGTTTGGAATGGGTTAAAAAAAATAAAAGAAATCTGTAGATTCAGAATGGGATCTTCCGAATGGGCTAAAATATATGATTTAATACAAAAACCCTAATATACTCGGAATAGAGACTTCCGAATCACGCATTTTTAGAAAACCTTATTTTTTTTCCCGTGTTTTTGCACTGCATGCTCACTTTTCCCGTCTTTTGGGAAAACACCCCCTTGACAACTCTGGTGAAGGAGGGGCGCCGGCACCGGCTCGCCCCGTCCTGGTTCCGCCACTGTTCATTTGTATAGTCACCACACGAAATTAGAAAGTAAGGATAATGCATGGCACGGAATTCGGCACGGGAGCCTCCTTAAGAAAACCCTACCAAACCATTTGGAACGGAACACCGCTTCATGCCATCTCCGGCCTTCAAAATGTTTGGAACACCATCTCAGTTCCGTGTCAACATTTTGACACGGCATTTGGCACCACAGTGTCCTTCGCAACGACTTTAACGGGGCACATTTAAATGTTCCAGTTATTTGTGGCACATCACCGGCCGTGCCATAAGTATGTCAATTTTGAATGAGTATTTGAATATTGGCACGGCGAGTCCCTGCCAATTTATGTTTTTTAAATTTAAAAATTTTAAATTTTGACACAGATAGTACGTCTATGCCAAATTTAAAGTTTTAGATTTCTCTATGAGAGCTGAGTAATGGCATAGATAATCCTTGCCAAGAGTCCAAAAACGAGCACATGCACATTTACACAATTATTCACAAAATTCTAATACTAAAATCAAAATACACGTACAACTAAGTTACCTAAACATTTAAATGCTATGAAATAGATTAAATACGAAGCAAAAATTGGATTATATACAATAACCCAAAAGTATTTAGCAAAAGAAATTGGATTATATAAAATAACCCAAAAGTGTTTTGCAAAATAAATTGGATTATATAGAATAACCCAACAGAGTTTAACCAAAAATAGACTAAACGACGAAATTACATATCCTGGCCGTTACGTTCTTGGCATTTTCATTCCTCGGGGGAGATGGGATATTGAAGAAATCATTGACGTCAAGAGAAGCTCCAGAAGGTTGATCGGGTGTGGAAGACTCAAATTTCAGTGTTTTTGCCTGGCAACCTAGCCCAAAAGGGCGACTCCTGTACTTTCGAACAACTTTCAGAAATAGTTGGATATCGTTGGAGCCTGTTTGACCTTCAAATTGACTTTCAAAATGTGCTTCCAGCTCAACATACTTGTTATAAAAAAACATATTACTCATGAGAAAAAACAGATAAAATAAGAAGAAGAAGAAAACAATCTGACAAAACATATTACTCATGAGAAAAAACAGATAAAGAGAGATTCACCCAAATAGGACTAAAACAAGGTAAAATTGCAAAAATAGGACTACTATGTTTTATTTTACAAAAATAGGACTAAAAAGATATAATCTGACAAAGCTACCCTCTGCAATCAATCGCCTCAATTTATCTTCCACCCTAATTCACCTTTCACGATTCTTTGCTCTGCCATGGCCGTGCTCTGCAGTCCGCATCGATCGTAGCCTCGCAGCGACGCTCTGCCATGGACGACCTCTGCTGCAATAGCGAAGAAAGGTACGCAATCTTCCTCTTCTTCTCCTCTTTCTCTTCCTCTTTCTCTTCCTCTTCCTCTTCTTCTTCTCAGTTCTCTGTTTTTTTTTAATTTTTTATCAATCAAATTTTAAATAAAATTTTGAATTTTGAAAGTTTCAAATGAGGATATATCTGAACTTGAATGTCTTGTTATCAATTTTTATTTCTTTGAATCTCAAAATGTTCTTTCTAATGATTCCAGAAAATGTCACTTTTTGAATAGGAGAATGTCATAATTATTGGGTATTTTTACAAAATGCCACTTTTATGTCATTATAATATTTGAAAATGTCATATTGAGAATGTCATGTTTCTATACGAAATTGTCATTATTGTCATATTAAGTGGCATTCTTAAACCATGTCATTTGCATATGGAAAAAATGTCAGTTTCAAGCTAACCTTAAATGTCATATAAAAAAATAAACATGTCAATTTTTAAAAAATGACATATTGTGTACTGTGATGTTAAAATAATGTTGGCATTTTGGAATAGAAAGATGACATTTGCAGTTATTAAAACATGCCATTTATTTTTAAATGATGGAAGTTTCAAATTAAATTGTCTAAAATAATATGAAATTCAAAAGAAGCACAAAACAGAGAAGAAAACATAGGGGAGGAAGAAGAAGGAGAAGGAGAAGAAGATGAAGAAGAAGAAAAAGAAGAGGAAGCTAAGAAGTGGAAGAATACCTGATTTTGTTTGAGAAATTGTTGAAGAGGTGGCTGGTTGCGTGGAGCAGGCAACTCCGATGAAGAGGTGGCAGAAGATCGAGGATGGCTGAATCGCAGGTGTATGATCGAAATAGGTCAAGCTGCGTCCATGGCACCTCAGTCGGAAGAGGAGGGCTGAATCGCAGGTGTAGGATCGATGACAGAGGGATTGGGGAAACGTGATTTTGGAGTTTTAACCATGTTTTAAAATTTAAGAATGTAATCTGGAGTCCTATTTAAGCAATTTAAAACTTAAAGTCATATTTTGGAGTTTTAACCATGTTTTAGTCCCATTTAAGATAATTTCTTGATAAAATAAGAAGAAGAAAACAGATCAACAAAGGCTTCAAACTTTCATATTCACATTGTGATAATTACAATGACTTTTTGAACACGCGTAGGGGTCACTCGATTTCGGCACATAACACTTCTTGTAGACCTCAATCGCCAGCCGTTCCCAGTCCAAACTTTTAGCCTAAGAGAAAATTAATTACAAAAATATTAAAATAGAAAATACAACATGAGGATACACGAGATAAATATTATCTTTAATTTACTAAGTTCATATGGAAATATGAAAAGAATATCATCACATTATTGAATATAATAGAAATATTCTACGTTTTTCTTTGTTCTAGGTTAAATATTAGTTTTAATTTAATTTATAGTTGAACCGTGAGAGCTAAGATTTAAACCATATTAATGCAGTTGTAAACTTGCACAAACATGATACAACAAAAAGTCATATACACTACATTACTCGAAATTAATAGTCATTAATAAATTTTTTAACTTTAACATTCTTTCAATACATACCAAAATATAATATAAATTATCTAAAAAGAAAAAATAACAATGTATATACACACATTTAGTTATTTTAGGGACCCATGAATACATACTTGGGCTATAAAATTGTTGATCTATAAAAGAGATTTATTGGTATATAGAAAAATACAAAAATTTCAAATACATTATTTTTTAACGGTCCGATCCCGTACTTTTGGGTTCTCAAAATCTAGAACATGTCCCGTACTATTTTTTGGTTTGGTATAAAAATCTATAGAACCTTTTAAATATCCGATATTCGGTTCGGTACCATTACGTACCGGTCCGGTACCGGTTCGGCTCGGGTTTTATGCTCACTCCTAAGTAAAAGTCTTGCTTAACCAATGTGAATTGAACCTCGAGATTCAAAATTCTCTCTTAATTATCTTAGAGTTCAGACGAGTATACCATTGGTAATATTTCTAAACAAAATAGAAATCACCTATTCAAACACATTAAACCGTTCAGTTACAATATTAAACCATACAGGAATATATAAATGAAAACACTGAAAATATATATTACTTCAAACCATCACTTCCAGCCTAGCTGGTTGTGAGGTTATCCTTGCATAAGAGAGGTCTCATGTTCGAGTCCCACTAGCACCCGTGGAACTATGATCCCCAAAAAACCCTTCAAGTGGTAGGGCCAAGCGGTGTATACTAACTAACACGTAGGGCCAAGCCAAAGTTGGGTTTCTGGGGTAAGGGGCCGTGAAAGCGGTGGAGCTAGTCACTATAAAAAGTTTACACATATCTTAATTTTTTACCGGTGGGCGTAGCTCAACTGGTAGCGAGGGAGTGCCACAAGGGTTAGGTCTCAGGTTCGAATCCCGGCAACTGCGATGAGGGGTTACTATGCTGAAAAATACATAGGGCTTCTGCAAGTACCGAGGACATAACCCCACTCTCTGTCTGTCAGATTGTGATTATAGTCCAATTTACATCCTCCCATCGTGTCGTCCGGTCATTGTTGGGGGACCCTCAGGGATGGGGTGTCATCCTTAACTGAAAATATTACTTCAAATAAAGACCACCACAATCTTTCTGTGCCTTATCAGCTTCTTGGTATGTGTACCATGTCCATGAAAGTTTTTTGTTAAGATTTCTTTGATTTTCTCCAACACCGCTGTCTTGCTACATAAGTCATTTTCACAAGAATTTTTAATAGCCGTTTAAGCCACAAATAATGAATACAACCTAAAAACTGAAATGTACACCATATACCATTCCTTTCCTGACAAAAATGAATTAACATTCATATAAATTACGTAGTAGTTTGTTAACTGACTCATATAAATTTCACATTCAAGTTTTGCAATAATTAATACTCCCTCCGTCCCATAAAGAAGTTTCTGTTGCTGTTTACGAGGTTTGACTGATGATAAAGCAACCTGATCCCTATTCACACTCAGATTATAATTGGTAAATAAATTTCACAAATTTAGAAAATGCATTAAAACCGCTACAAAGCCTGATCAAGGATATTTAAATTTCATAAAAAGATTTGTTATATAGAGGGCGTTTGGTAGCATGTAAAATAATTACTTTGCATGTGAAGTGTAAGGACGTAAAATGTTTGCACGGTTTGGTTTGATTATTTAATGTAAACTGTAGGACACTTTTTTAATACATTTTGCACTGTACCATGTATAATATTTTATGTGGGGGCTGGGGGGAGGGTGGTAAAATATTTTGCATGCCTTTTATGAAGTACTGCAACGACTTTGTGTGCAATTTAAAAATAAATTACACATGCATCTAGCCAAACAATGTAATCTATTTTACATGCAAAATAATTGCTTCCCTATACTTTGCATGCAATCACTTCATGTGCAAAGATATAACATGTAAACTACCAAACGACCCCATAAAGTAAACGATTAGGAGTGATTTAAATTGACCTGAATGGGAACTTAATATCAGGTCAAAATATAACCGTTATTGAAAGTAATCGATGTCAGTTCATTTTACCCCTTATGGAATGTTTTCCATATTGGTTCATAATAACCCCATATGAAACGTCTTTTATAATGCAGATTCATACTATGGTAATTTACCCCAAATCAATTTATCGTACCACAACATGGAATTTTTATAATGTTCATTCACTACTATATTCATAAATAAACAACACCACTCACAAACCATATAGCAAAATATTGTATATTAAATATAGTATAGTTTCAAAATTATCGTTGATACACCAACAAAAATATTGCATGACTTTCAAACATGCCAAAAATAGTATCATCTAAATCTAATTAAATAAATACTAAATGCTAGTAGCTTCACAGAAAAATGTTGCCCAATCATCTCGAATCTGATTGATATCTTCTTCACTAAATGGATCTTGAACATTGAATACCTATACAAGATGAAAAGCATTATATTAGTATAAAATAAAATAAAAAGAAATACAAAGAAAGTAAAATAATGAAACATAAGTACTAATTACCTCTATCCATGAATCAACAACATTAGCAGAGATAATAGTACTCATATGTTTCATAACATAGTAACCACATTCATAACTTCCACTTTGCATTCGGCACTACAAATGAAAACACATTTAGTCAATATTATAGCTATACAAATACAAAAATAATACGCATAAAAATCTGGATTACTGCAGGTTGATACCCTATTACACAGTGTAAAAGGATTTCTTTTTGCCGACTTTATCTTTTTCATAAGAAAGTTGGAACCATAGCATCCACAACAATTTTTTTTTTTGCTTTCTCAGTTAGATGACTAATCAAAACACTATACAAAATCCCACACATTCATGAAAAGGTATACATTAATATAAAATACTTAACATACATGAAAAGGAAGTCCAATATACACGGGATGTAACATGGAGTATAAATATCACAATCCAATGAAAATCAAAACATCTTACTGTACTTCAACATTAATAAAACTCGCACTTACCATTGGCTTGATCCATTTCGGTTTAGAATTCCTTTTATTTTTTGTCAGTTGATGTGCCTGCATAGCCCTAATGAAACAGTACAAAAATAAGTCATGTTATAAACTACCGAATAGCTGCACAAATTAACTGATTTAATATTGCTAGAGTTATATCTCACAAATCTAGAAGAGTCTTCATGTTTGGTTTTGGTTTGTTTCCCAAAGAGCACAAGAATACAATTGAATTCTTTCTTGGACACAACACATACAACTGCCAATGATTTCTGAATCAGAATAGGGAAAACAACTTCAATTAGTCCATAAAATAATTACACGTGAAAAGGGATTGCACCTTCCCTTCAACAGAAAACCATTAAATGAGTAAATAATAAAACTAAAGAACTTACGGATAATAATACGGTATCAAGTAACACTCTTTGTTTCCTTCAGTGAGCTGAGTCAGTATGTAAGTTTGGACATCTTCACGCTTGTTCCCCACATCTTGAATGGTATGTGGGTCAAAAAATCCATAGAGATGCGTATTATCCTTTTGAACACACAACTCATGCAAACGTCTAAAAATTTATAATCATAATAAATGTATAATAATTGCTTGACATTCCATCACCATGCAGTAGAACAGTATTAATCATATCACTACTCAAAATGAGTAAAATGCATCCAGGTTCTATAATAAGCTACTCATTAGTAAATGAAAAAATATGGAACTAATCTATTTTAATATAAAAACGGAATCGTTAGATAACAACTGTTCCCGCCATGTATATCTATTGTCTAAAGACTATAGTTATACCAACGCAGTGCACATGTGGATGTACACGACGCCCACTAATTTTCCATAACTGTTACGTCCAGGATGCTACTGCATACGTAGTAGAAATTATACTCCGTATTTAACTAGAAACAGAGCAATGAGAGTAAAATTGATCTGTAACAGTTCCGAATACATGCAATATTGATTTCAGTTCTATCATGCTAATACTTGCAGTTAGATGATGACATTCCATTGATCTATCAAATACTCCATCACTTTTAGTTTTGCTTTGTAGGTTATATTTAACTATACATTATATATATTTTTTTGCAGTCTCTTAATTACTCTTTTCAGTCCATCTTTGATTGGCGGAATTAGAAAATAATGGAATTCCTTAGGTTATATTTAGGTTTAATAATTATCTTTTCAGTAAACCGCAGTAAGGAATTATAGTATATAGTTAAAGATAATTGTAACCTAAGGAAAAGTATAACAATATTCTTTTGCAGTCTCTTACTCTTTTCAGTCCACCTTTTAGAATTCGTTTTATAGTTAAAGACTGCAAACTGTAAGTGTTAATTTTAAAATTAAATTTTATCCCTTCTATACTAGTATTACATAAAGTGTATGAACTTTTCATCTTCAATAAGAGATTTATATATTAACTAGCACAAGAAAAGACAAACAATTCCAACTTACATGATCCATACTTGTAGAACCACTGCACTAAGCATTTGCTTTCCCAAACAGATCTCTAATATCTCTTCTGAGCCAAGATAAAGAGAGACATCAGAACGACCAATAATTTCTTCTTTTAGGATTAGCTCTATAGGTTGTAGACTAAGGTGAGTAGTCATTGTCATCAAACGCGATATCGGACTTGCGCACTCATGCGAGGCATCATCATCCTACAATAGCATAACTATTATGAAATTATATTTGAAGTTCACACAACAACCAAAACCAAAGCTTATGGATAATTTTGCACCTTTCCATATGCCTTCTCTTTCATGTGAGGGTTAACCAATCTTCGTGGCCATTGGATGAACTGATTGGGAGCTTGTCCAACTGTTTGAACCTCCTCGCTTGGAATTGGGACCACTGCAGATGCATCTATAACCTCTACCACCTCCACCCTGACAATATTTTTTTCTACTCGCTGATGGTGTATAATAGGACTTAGGTTATGTACCTGAATAAGATTTCAAAATTTAATATAATTTATAATTTAGAATGCATACAATTTTAAGACTCAAGTAACATACCTTTCCCCTCGCAACTAAGTGGAAAGGGGTGTCGACATAGAGATGGGATAGCTCATCATTGGATTGAGAGGCATCTTCTGGAGCGTTGCTGCCCTTGGTACTGACATGTGTAGGGGAATGAGTGTGATGCACATCTGTCTGTACCTCTTTCTGTTGGATTAATCCCAACCTCTTAAGCTCATCTTGAAGTTGCTGAGCAAATACTTGTGACATTGTCATTTGCATCTCATGTTGCCACTCTCTCTCTTGATACGATCAAGATCATTTTGGGTCAAACCTGTAGATCTATAACCTTGACGTGGTAATGGTCCAAAGTGTGCACGAATACCAACCCCTGCTCCAACACCACGAACACGCCCAGGGTGCTCAAAACGTTCAGTAGCCATTGTTAAAATATCATTACGACCGTTGGGAGCAAACGTACCTTCTCGTTCCTCAACAACTAAAGAATCCTGCATATCATAAATGAACATCCATTCTAATTTTTTTATACAAGTATTTATACATTAGTAATAAATTTATTATTTGACTTACAATTTTTTCTCCGATTTGGCGAGACCTCTTTGAAGTATACCTTCCATTTTTTCTAATTCAGCCTCTTTTCCATTTCACATGGCGGGTTATGGGGGAAGGAGGATTCAGCACCAATGAAGGATCATCTTGTGAGGCTTCTTCACGCTGTTTCATTTTTTCAGCCATTAACATTTTCTCTAACAGGGCATATCCACCTCGGGACAATATGTGGGGGCACTGATTGCATGCTTGGATTTCTTGCGCCTTTTTCCTACGCTCCTGTTTTAGATGCAAAACACAGTGTATAGTGAACAATAAGTTACATGATCTTCTCATGAAATGTTAACAACGTTACTAACCAGGAAATTTGGATCTTGTCTACTTTGAACAAATTGCTGCCAAGTCTCAGAATCTATCCACTGATACTTTTGTGTAGGAGTCTCATTAGAACGAGTGCCAAATATGTAAGTTGTTGTCAGAAACGTCTTGAATCCTGTCCAGCGATTGCCCGCATATGATATCAATTTTCTTCGCAAAACAGGATCATTGGGGACATCAAAAGTAAGCTGCATTACATTAACATGCATCAGGTTCCAATTTAAGAATAGTTAAGCATCCAATACTTATGGGTAACTAACTTTACCTGCAAAAGAATATTTAATTTAATTATTATTTCTAAGTAGTTATACGCCGAGTTTTCGTCTTTGTTTATTACATTTTTTAATTTCAAAATTTTTATGCTCTAATATTTAGTTATTAGAATTTTCTGTAATATGTAATGCGCATAAGCATATTGAAATGAATTCAAGCTGAGCATCTTTTACTTACTGCTCCAAACAAATTACTTACTGCAACGTTTACTTACTATACTACATATTGAACTCTAAATCAGAAAATAATTACTTGAATAGCCTCCCAAATCTGATTTTTAACTCCCTCATCAGCTGCTTCCCATTCAGGGCACAATATACTGGCTCTCCTCCTTCCCTCGAGGGCCACAAAACTATTAAAAGCATCCTTATTTGGACCCACTGGTTTTCCCTGATCATCAAACTCGATAGGTAATCTTACATTCGCTGCAATGAAATAGAAAATCAGCAAGTAAACAATGATAACAGGTATGTATGATAGAACATCCAATTGAATTACCTGCACGACTACGGAGTAAAGCCTTCAAGCTCGTGGGATTCCTACCCTTTTCTTTCTCTTATTGCTGCTTGATCCACTCTGTTCTTGATCCTTATTCATCTTCCTCCTACACCCAAAATAAGAAATTATTATACATATATATAACTAACATTGAAATTAAAAACAAATGAATTAATTAACTAATGAATTAATAATAAAATAAATAAATGCCTCGACAGGGATATTCTCCCATATTCCTTCTTCATGATCCTCACGAACAGCATGTACATTGTCCAATTCATCGTCATCGGCAACTACAGTAGCCACCGACGCAGATAGAGGAATCTCAAGTATGTCATCACTGTTTTCATCATTGACAGACAGATGTTTTCCTTGGAGAACCACTGACCACCTCATATTGGAGGGGTCAGTTACGTAGAACACTTGTTTTGCTTGATATGCCATAATGAAAGGCTCTGATGTGTACGCTAAGGTGTCCAAATTCACTAGTGTAACACTAAGCTCATCAATCTTTACACCATTCCTATTGTCCACCCATTTGCACTTGAAAACAACTTCCCTGAACCCTGTGTAATCGATTTCCAAAATTTCATCAATAATTCCATAGTACGACACTGATGCCATCACTGGATTTTTATCTTTTGCACTTCAGAAATGCATAGCCTCTGCGACAACCATCACCCCACTGTTTTGCATGCTACTGTTATCATCTTGAAACTTTGTACAAAAGGAATATCTGTTGATGTCATATATATCCACCCCAACACATGACTTCAAAGTGAATGCCATTTGCAAACCATCTTAATCTTTCACTCGCATTAGCGTCTTTTAAAATCTGCTCTTGAAACCATTTCACAAAGGTCTTGTTGTGTTCATTCAACAACCATTTTTCAGTTTTGCGTGGATTTTTTTGCTTCACAAGTGCTTTGTGAACTTGCAAATAAGGCTGGACCTCTTCAGAATTGTTGAGTATATAGAGATGTGCTTGAAACACATCATCCCGGCTCATGCTCTTACATCTTAAACCTCTAGTACCTTGACCTTTACATCTTCCATCATGACGGGACTTCGGAAGCCCTATAGCTTCAACTTCTGAGATGTAGTTTGTACAAAACTCAATGGCCTCCTCTGCTACGTAACGTGCAACAATAGATGCTTCAGGACGGTATTGATTCTTTACGTACCCCTTCAATATTTTCATGTACCGTTCTGCTGAGTACATCCATCTCAAGTAAACAGGGCCACATAATCTTATCTCTCTTACTAAATGAACTACTAAGTGAACCATGATGTCAAACAATACCAATAACAGCACTAGCGTAATTTTTACACATCTTCAAAAAATGGCACCGATAAGTTCTCGGTAAAATTATCTCACATCACAGATAAAATAACGACCGAAAAAATTCACTTTTATTGACAAGATCACATTTACTTAAATCCGAACGTATGGGATGGAATTTGTAAATTGAATGTCAAAGAAGAGTACATTTAATATGAACAATAATCTATTGTTTTATATAGTAAAACACTAAAACTCATATATAAAATGATGTGTCTCTCTTATTGATTAACAAAATTTAATTAAAATTTTTAATTATAATACAAAGTACTCCCTCCGTCTCCTTTTAAATGTCCCAGAAAAGGGTGCCACGAGTTTTAAGAAAAGTGGGTTTGTGTGATTGATATTAATTGATAAAGAAGAATAAAGTAAGAATGATTTTGACCCACACAAACTTTACCAAATAAGTTATGAGACAATTAAATAGGGACATCCCAATATGATAAAATAAGACTTTTAAAAGGGGACGGAAGAAAAAAGTAAGCATATTAACTGTTCACAACATTAATTAAACCAGATAAAGTATACAATGGTAAGCATATAAATGGTGGTCCTTGATCAAATTTCGTTTTGACTTTCGTAGTGACAAACATTTACCAGACCAGATCAGACCAGATTATACCAGATCAGATCATACCAGACTTAAACAGACCAGACCAGTAAATTATAGTAGAAAATTACAGTACAAGTTAAAACATCCTAATTATAAAAGTGAAGCATATGAAAATTGTTGATATGTCTCTCTCCTATTGGTTAACAAAATTTAATTAAAACATTTAAATATAATATCTAATAAGAAAACGCATGAGATAAAACATTTACTGTTGTATTTTCATTATATTTTATTTATTTTAAAAAAAGTTTTAATTTGTCTGTAAATTTTCAAAATCTGATTTTTAATTTAAAAAAATATTAAAAGGTCAAAATTGTTTATTGGTAATCGTGAAAAGTGTATCGTTGCACTCATTTAAAATCAAATGTAATACTCCCTCCGTTTTCAATACTTTGTCATATTTGATCGACACGAGTAATAATAAAGCAAAACTGTGTGGTTGTGATATGTGCAAAAAAAGAGAGAAATAACAGGAACTATAGATTCATTGATTAAAAGGAAAAATGGTAAATATTTGGGACATTCAAAAAGTAAATATGACAAAGTTATAAGGTACGGAAGAAGTATACATTAAGGAAAAGTCATAAAAATAGAAAATGAATTTTAGATCATTTAAATTTAAATGAGAAAAGTAAAGTAAAAATGGGGGGGTGGCATTCTATTCTAGTGGAGGACAAAAAAAAAGTAAAAAGAATAAAAATTAAGGCAAAAGAATGGAAGAGAGAAACTCGTCAGGAGGTACGGAACTAGGTAATACGTACTTCGTATTATGAACTATGTATATATGACACAAAAGAAAAGAGAAATTTAAAAAAAGATAATAAGAAATGGAAAAACCGGTCGGATCAACCAACGACTTGCTATGAGGAGTTGTGATCCGGTCACTGGACCAAATGGATGGTTTTTTAGTAGTAGGAGTATTTATATGAAGCTTTTGATAGTAGAGGGGTTGAAGTGATTCATTTTATTAAGTGTCATGTACAAAACGTTGTAATAATAGTTTTGAACAAAAATAAAAATCCAAAAAACGATGACTAAGACACACGGCGAAAGAAAATAGCACACCTGCCCGTTTGTTTCATTCAATGGCTGTGTTTGGCAAATAGTTGTTAACTGTTAGCTGATTGTGTCAACTGTTTGTCAATTGTTGTTTGTATTATATGTTTTGATTGATTGATCGTGTAAGGCAATTGTAAATCAATGTTTGGTAACAAATAGAAGTAGAGATGTAACATTTTGGGGCAGCAACAAATAGAAGTAGATATCTAGTAACATTTTGGATGTTGGATTGTCAAACAAGTTGATTTAGGTCAAAATAGCCAAAATGGGTTTATAGGGTTTAGGGTTTCAAGAGGAGGGTGAAGCACACCCCTACAACATGTGATTCAATGTCTCATTAAATAAACATTGGCAATTAAAAAGGGCATCTAAAATCATGTACATATCCTCTAAAATCACATTTCTCTTGCGCGGCTGTTAATGTGCTTTAAATGATAAGATTTTGGTGCATAGAGCTCATAATAAATTATTTTTATTTTTGGAAATAAAAAGGTGGCTTATATTAAATCAATAAAACTTAAGCAAGTTACAAAACGACAAAAAGTCATCCGTCTACCGTCCGCCCTTGAACCAGCTTGAGTATCTATTACCTTCAAAGAAGCAATCAGGCTCGCTGATCCTATAATGGGCTTACCTAAGCCAATGATGGACAAACGAGACTTCTCATCATAACTTGACTTAAATTCTAGAGTTTTTCTTTTAGAAAACAAAAACACAACCAAAGCAACATTCATTTCAAAATAAAAACATAACATAAAAACAGAATAAACTAAATAAAGATGTCATCCCAAGAGCATTAACAATTGAATTCTCAAAAACTTGTGCGGGTCTGGAACCCAACACCCACCATTGTCCTGTTTTTTAGTTCGTCAAGGTCCATTTCTTCCATCACTGTGTCATCCTTCACCGCTCTTCCCACGTATGTCTCCTCTTCTGATCTACGGACCCAACATTAGCGATTAAAGTCCATGTGCCCCCAACTTGGTTTGCTCCAGTTTTAGTAAGACCCACCACCCAGCCCCGGGACTCCTCCTCCATGTGACCATGACTTCGATCTTGATCCTTCCGGTTGCTACCATGCATTTTACATGCTCTTGCTGTTGAACCTCTCTCATGAACTAACCACTAGTTACCCAGAGAGGGGTGAGGTTTTCCCCCACTCCCAAAGGTTTGTCAAGAGTCGTGTCTTCTTTCTCATAAATTAAAGGGCAAAATTTATGTGCATGTTCCATAACTCCACACACAAAACAAAAACTAGGAGTTTTTCATACTTACAGTCCACCCAATAGCCCTTCCTTTTCCTTTTCTAATAGTTGTTCCAACCTTTAGGGATTTTCCTACGTCCATACAAACTCTAGCAGGCATATAAACCTCCCATGTATTATATATATGTAGTATATAACAGGTTGTGTGATACAATTAAGGTTTGAGTTTTCATGTGTAAGTGGAAGGGGAAATAGCTTAGAAGTACTCTTAATTCCAAGATTCTTTTAAGCTTTTGGGTATGTTTGGCACAACTAGTTGAAAAGATACTTTTGTAAGCTTTTTAGTAACTGTTAGCTTTTAGTGCTGAAAAGATCATAAAAGAAATAAGTGTTAGCTGTTTGGTGAAAAGCTGACTGTTTGATTTAGTTTTGTTTGGTATACAAGCTGTTAGGACTAATTAATACTAAGTGCCCATTTGGTAGCAATGATTTTTGGCTTTTCTGGTTTATAAGCCAACTTTTTCACCAAACACGTAACTTTTGGTTTTATGGGATGAATTGTGTA